AGGAATTTTAGAAGTGTATGGAAAGTTATGCCCACGGTAAATCTCCTTTTGTTAAAAGTGAGTGAAAAAGCTAGGAGAGGAAAAGAAACTACTGGAAGTATTACTTGAACACAAGCACTGTGATACCAGGAAAAAAAGGAAAAAAAAAAAGAACTACTGGAAGGAGTCTGAAAAGGGAGCATCTGATTTATTGTTATGTAAGTGATGGGAAGAGTGAGTTTTGAGGGTGTCTTTACTCTGAGGTATTTAAAGAAAACAATTTGTAACTTCCTTGAAGTATAGGCATATATGTCCCCTCTATCCTCTAAGCCTCTCCTAGTCATTATTATTTTACTGCAATAATGCGTAGAGTGCCACATTTTAACATGTCAAGAAACTTGAAATGAAGGTGCTAATGTAAAGACATGGACCAACAGATGGGCAACAGTCACCAAGGAGTCTAAAAAAGATCCTGTGTGCAACAATCTGTTAGTGTGTCTCTAGCACTGTCTAGGGGAGAAACAGAATAGCAGAGATAAAAATGATTCAAGAATATGCTGTATTGGATAGAGTACAGGATGCTAGTTCAAATGCAGCCTTGCCACTAACTAGTACACACATTTATAGAGTGCCTCCTACTCATCAGGGACTATAATAGGTGCTTTAAATATTTTTATCTCAGAATTATTATGACAATCCAAAGACTAGATATGATTGGCCTCAATTTGCAGTTAAAAGAAGTTAAGATTAAAAAGTTCAAAAACCTTTTCACAGTTATAGTAGAAGTGAAAGAACTACAAGTTCACGTGTATTTGTCTAATTTCAAGGCTTGAGCTCTTTTCTCCACAGCCATAGATCTCAAACCCAGTTGTGCATCACAATTGCCTGCAGAATACATTAAAACATTTCTCCAGATTCCCCACTCAAGATTGACTCAGAAGATATACATTATTATAGTACTTTTCTAGTTGTTAGGATTAAATGTAATAAAGAATATTAGAGTGTTTTATAAACTTCAAGTTTAACATACATGTTTACAATTTCATGGTTTTATTACAGATAGTATCTAATCTCCTTTAGATTTTCTAGTCCAGAAATAATTTTCTGATAATTTATTAGGCTTTGAAGTACCTTAAACCAGAAAAGGGTGCCCCAAACAACGTTTTGGCTTGGTAACAACATTACAAATTAATCATTTAATTTCTAGTCTGTAAGTAAGAGCTCTTGTATGTCTGACCAGCATTAGTCAAATTCCTCAAGCTTGATCATCCTCTTAAGAACTGATGAAACAATTTTGAAATCAGCAAAGCTTAAGAATGGTACTCAAAGCAGAAAAGGTGTAAAGGGTTTTAAGTGGGCGGCTTCGTGGGAGTAGGGTTTTGACCTGGAGATCAGTTTGTGAATACCTTGCGAAGCTAACTAGTTCTGACGTAAGAACATCTTTGCTCAGAATTCGCAGATGGTGTCTTTCTTGGTGCCAATACTCCACAGCTGTTACTAGATGGAACAAGAACATGTGACAGACACGTCCCTGACCCCTTTAAAATGCCCCTGCTCCTCTCACCCCCACTTTCCTCAACAATAGCAGTAAGTTTACCAACAAAGGTCTCAAGAAAATTCTAAGTTATTATTCCTATTCTCAAGTGGGGCTTGTGGTAAGCTGTATTTAAATTAGCATTCTTTCCCACTGACCATGAAAGGTTGGCAGTTTACTTGTAGGCAAATACCCTTTTTTGCAATATTCACGTCATTAAGCAAGCATTTACTAAACGTTTGCTTAAGAAGAAAGGTTAAGCGGTTTCTCCGAGACCACACAGATCGAACAAGTGGGGGAGGGAGGGACGGAAAGTGCCTGATAGAACCAGTCACACTCCCACAATTACCCAAACAGTCTCTTTCGTTGCCCAAGGATCGGGCTTTCAAATGGACATGAAAGCAACGCCCGGGAGGAGAGCGCCAGGAAATCGGGAAAGGTGCCTTTCCCAGAATGCTCTGCAGCACACCGAGGGGCGCCAGACGTATCCCAGCGTGCATTGGGGAGCGCCCAAGGGCGATGGTTCCCGGCTCTTGGAGGGGTGCGCGAAGTTAAACCGGTAGGTGTGAGCTTTCTTAGTTTTGAGCCCCTGGTTTCTTATTTCCCCTTTGTGGATGTAACCCCCTAAGGGCAGAAAAGGAGGTCCTCTAACTATCTTCCTTTTCCGCGTGCGAACGACTTTCAGCGCCGCTTCGAGCACAGTGCCAGGTGATTAGCGGTTAGGGGCGGGCCCGAGTTCAGCACGTGACCAGACCTGTCAGCCAATGACTAGCCGGGTGGTCCAGCCGCGCGAGGATTCCCGGACCCTTGAGCGGAGCGGCGCGTGGGCTGGCTACGATCTGCCCCGGCAGGTACGCGCAGGCGCCTTGGTTGCCACGCGATCCGTCTGTCCCCGTGTGCCCGGTGGCGTGTACTTGGCGCAAGGTGTTAAGTGGGTGTTTTTTGTGGGTAGGGGGTAAGGAGAGGTTTAGGGACTGTGGCGTCACGTGTACGCCACAGCCAATCTCCGGCCGAGGCGCACCCACAGCTTTCCCCGGCGCCCAGGGGTGCGACGTGTTCTTGTGGTTTGATCCAGTTATGACGGCCTGACCCCTCTTTCGAAGCGCGTGGGCTGTCTGTAAAATCTGGCCGCGGCTTTTCGTGGCGTCCTGCTCCGCGGTGAGCACGGACGACAAGTTCTCAGCAAAATGGCTGCTGTAAAGAGTCGCCTAGCAGGGGAAGCGATGGGGCCGCGTGAAGGTCACATGATGAGGTTGGCAGCGCGTGCTGCTGGCGCGGGGAAGGGAGAGGGTGGGAGGGAAGAGGCGTGGCGAGTCACGTGCCTTCGACTGTGCCTTCCCGTGGTTTTCCAGCCTCTTTTCTGAGGCCAGATCGTCTAGTTTTACTCCTCCCACCTCCAGGCGTGTGGTGTGAAGGTATGAGTCTTGGTCTGGGAATTAGAAGATCTGGGGTACAGCCCTTTGACTAGTTGTGTAATTAACAACTCATGTTACCACTCTCGGCCTCCATTTTCTCATTTATATTTTAGCTTCGTAGGGGAGATCATTTTTAAGGCTCGTCATATAATCTGTGACTAACCGCAATTTCATGCAGATAAAAAAATGATCAACAATTATTAGCAATTACTATGAGACAGGCTTCCTGCAAAAGAAGAAAACCCGTGAACAGCTTCTCCCCATTGGCAAAATCATTTCAGGATAACCTGGTGGAGGTAATTTGTTAAAATGTTATAGGCATGCCTATCTAACTTTATTAGATTACGTTTATACGCTGTACCTGTCTACTATTTCATTTGCAAAATGTGGTCTTTTAACAACTGAACCCTATGTGTTTCCTGAAAAGAAATCAAAAGGAAACTATTGTTATTGTCATAACAGTAAAGATGGGAAAATACTACTTAGAAGAGACTTGCTAGTGCTCATAAGACTGAATTAGGAGGACCTAGATGTTTTCTTTTTCACTCGGTGGGCCAAGCATTGTAAAATTTTTGTGGCTTTGTACTCACCAGTCTTCAGTGTTTATCGTGGTCTCTGCTCCCATCTCCAGTTATTCATTTCACCAAGGGTCATGGCATTGGTGAAAAGAATCAAGCATAAATTTATATTTTCCATACAACTGCTTGTGTTTTATGACACCCTTTGATTTATCTTAAAAAGAGTCTTCGAATTTTGTGGAAACACATTGTGGAAAACATTTATTGAGCAGTTATAATAACTGTCACTTTCTTGTAATTATAGTTAACATCTTTCTGGCGTGATGTTTTAAGAATTTTATACTGAAGTTCATTTAGTTCTCATAACAAATTCATAAAGTACTCTCATCTCCATTGAGGAAGATAGCAACAGAGGGATGAAACAACTTGTACAAGGTCATACAGCCAGTAATTTTACATAAGTCCAATGAGGAAACTTGACAATGATTTATTCCAGAGTTAATTTGAAAGAACTATTTGCAAATCAGGAAGATTTTTATTTATTTGTATTTTATTTATTTATTTTTTAAGAAAGGCGATTCTCTTGCCTCAACCTCCTGAGTAGCTGTGACTACAGGAGACCTCCACAACGCTCAGCCATCTTTTGGTTGCGGTTTTGGCTGGGGCCAGGTGTGAACCTGCCACCCTCAGTATATGGGGCCGGTGCCCTACTCACTGAGCCACAGGCGCTGCCCTCAGGAAGATTTTTAAAGGAGAAAATGAGGGGAGAACTTGTACTAAAGATTATACAAATACAGTTATGATAATCAAAATATAATCTTGGAATAGTTGTGGAACAGAATAATCTAGAAATATGTAAAGGTGATATTTCCTGTAGGGAAAAGGATTCCAAAGTTATGTTGGAGCAGTTGGCTACCAATGGGGGAAAAAGATAAAATGGGATCCCTACCTTAAAGTTTAAATAAAATCCAAGTGAATTAAATATTTAAATGTAAAATGTGAATTCAGAAGATGGCTACTTTAAAAAATAGGTGAACAGTCTTCCAATCTTGAAGTAGGATGAGCTATTTTAACTATTACTGCAAAGGCAGAATCCATAAAGGCAAAGATTGATAAGAATTTTTACATAAAATGGCCTCTAGTTGGGAGAAACACCAGAAAATTAAAAGACAGATTTTTATTCATTTAGTATTCATTTAACATATTCATTGAATGCTTACTATGTGCCAACTAACTTTTTAGTTTTGAGCAAAAGCCTGGCAAATTGTTGAGGAAAAAAATTGAACCATGTTTTTTTTTTATTGAATGGTAACTGTGTACATTAATGCACTTCTGGGGTACAGTGTGGTGTTTTTACACACAATCCGAAACACTTCCATCAAACTGGTTAACATAGCCTTCATGTAATTTTCTTAGTTATTGTGTTAAAACGTTCATATTCTACTCATAGAAAGATTCACTTATACCCTTGTAAGATAAACCACAGAAGTGAATGAACCATGTGTTGAACCTAGGTTAATGACCTTAATATCTAGTAATTGGACAAAAGACATGATGAATAGAAAATCACATGCAGAAATAAAAGTAGCTAATAAAGAAAAATATTTCGGGAGTCACCATGGAGAGGACCCTGCAGGTAGACCAGCTAATTTGGCCATGAGAAGGAAACTGCACAGACACAACTGCCTGCAGAGGAGATGTATGCCTCTTCATTCTCGAGTCCCCTTCCCCTGAGATCTCTCTAGCTAACTTTATGCAGTCTACCAGAAAAAGAAGATGCATGAAGGAAAGATATCCAGCTACTACCCC